AGTTGAAAGAGAGACTGGTTGCATGTCAAAATGAGCCACTACCTCATTTCTGGCATCAGATTTGGCAAAACTATGTTGTATCACCTACTTTGCATTTGAATCTCGAAAGTATCACGGATTCTGAATGGATATGTTTCCCATTTTACATACCACAAAATACATTTTCAAATGTAGTTTTTAATTATTATTTTTTTTTTTGCTCAAGGTAACAGGCAATCTCCTTTCCATCATTCCTATTTTGAACTAGAGGGACTCCTCCCCTGTTTTCAGGCTGCCCCTCTATCTAGGCAAACAAGCAAGGAATCAGTACCACCATTTTAGAGGACAGAAGAAGCGCTCAACATTTTATTTAAAAAAATAGATCATCAATCTGATTGAAGAAATGATTTGAGGTGGGGGTTGGATGAAAAATGAAGGGGGCAATTTATATCATCTGGCCCTCATTCTGTCTTTTCTCGCGGTGGCTCAATTGAAATGTACGGATGACTAGAAATGGTATTGGGGAGAGAAAATGCTTGTTTTCCTGCAGAAAAAGTAACATGGAAACCTATTAACTAATTTAAAGAGGTGATTCTAAAATTCAGTTAGGTAAGTATTATTACAAGAATAAACATTGTAGACAAACACACACACACCCCTTAACCAGTGGTGGGATTCATTTTTTTTTACTACCGGTTGTGTGAGCGTGGCTTGGTGGGCGTGGCAGGGGAAGGATACTGTAAAATCCCCATTTCTTCCCCACTCCTGGAGGAAAGATACTGCAAAATTTCCATTTCCACCCCACCCCACCCCACTAACTTGCTCTCCAGCTCCGTTCTCTTGTGCATGGCAACTGATCAGCTGGGACTATGATCAGCTGGGACTTGGGAGGCAGCGAATAGATGGGGGCGGGGCCAACCAGAGGTGGTATTTGCCGGTTCTCCGAACTCAAAATTTCTGCTACCGGTTCGCCAGAACCAGTCAGAACTGACTGAATATCACGTCAGCCCTTAACTATTAATCATCCTTTCATCTGCTCACCAACCACCCCTGGAAATCCGTACTACCTTTGAAAGCTCAAGCTTAGTTGACTGAATTTCAGTGGACAGAGAGAGGCTGATGTGCCTACTTTGGCCAAAGAAATGACGAAATGAGGAATCTACCTTACCTTGTCATGTAGTAAAAACATTTGGTGAGTTGAAACCCACATATCTTCAAGTTAGCAAGGTTGAGAAACATTTTTATAGGGAAGCCACAAATCAAGATGTGTGTATCCTTTCATAGTAAAGTTGTGTGAGTGTGCTGATCATGCTTGGCTTATTTTAAATGCTCGGTTGTATCCTAAGGCTGAGCTTCTGCAATAAACTAAATCCAAACTAAATGACCTGCATTATGGTGTAGCAAAAGGCCCGTCAAGCCCCGCGGGCTTAGATTGGACTCGTGGGGCTGCCTTGGAAACAGCGAAGGACCGGCCCTTGGTCCCTTTGCCAGAAAAAATGGAGTTCGGGAGGGCCATGGGCGGCACTCCCGACTCCGTTTTCGCTGGCAGAGGATTGCAGGAGGCCATTGCAGCCAAAAACGGAGCTTGGGAGCCCGTTTCCGTTCGGGGCTGCCACAGACGCTCCCCATGAGTAATGTTGAACTGGCCACACCCACTCCAGCCACCACCCCCACCCCTCCGAGGTCAAACACAACCCTGATGGGTCCCTCAATGAAATCGAATTTGACACCCCTGATGTAGTACAATGGATAAACCAAGTCATGAAGGAAGAGTTGAAATCGAGTCTATCACTCCCTGCACCTTCTTTGTAAAAGGAAACCATATTTTGCAGCTAGTTGGGCTATGTTGTAGCATCAAACCAGTGGTGGGTTGCAAGTAGTACGCCCCAGTACGGGCGTACCAGATCTTGCTCGGACCACTGGGTATCCGTTCCGGTACGGTGCTCCGGATGGCCCGCCCATGCTCCTTGCCTGTGCTTTAAGCTTTTGGCGCTTATGCGCAAGGGGCATACGGCGCCTGCGTGACGCTCCGCTGAGCAGCTGGAGCATCACGGAGGCTTGCAGAAGCGTCATTTGATGCTACAAGACATGCGCGTGCCACGCGCGGATGCATGTGGGTGACTCCGGCGCCGTTCCAACCGTACCGGTTGGAACGGAATCCGGAATCCACCACTGCATCAAACACTACTGCTAGTTTATGGGTATCTTTCTAAAAAGGAACTGAAATTAAAAGTGTGTTGCAGAAATTTAATCAAGAATTTAAATGCCAATTCCTCTTGAATATTCCTGGTCTCCTATTCCAGTCCTGTGTTGCCTAAAGATCTGGGATGGAGAAAATTAATGTTGCCTTTTTATCCTGTTTTAGACACTTGGTTGATTTCTGTTCAGTTGGAAGCCTGCAGGAAAAAATAGCAAAAAAAAAAAAAAAAAAAAAAGTTACAATTAAAGGGCACACATCAAAAAATGAACCAGTTCATCAGATTATACTGCTCTGTTTCATTTGCTCTTTAAAAAGTGGAATTAAGCTAACAATATCTATGGAGAGTCTCAGTCAACATTTGTCCCAAAGGTGCTTTTTCAAGAGGCAACTGGTTTTTCTTTGAAGATTAATGCTCTTTAGGAAGAGGTGGGTTGCTGCTAGTTTGGCCTGGCTTGGCCGAACCAGTAGGGGAATTCAGGCCTGGGTCACAGAACCGGCAGCGACCCAGGCCTGCCATGCCCGTGAAACCGGTTCCCACACCGCTGCTGGGCTGCCGCCATTTTCCTTTTAAGTGCACAGTTCGCTGTAAATTGTACTGCACATATATGATGAACAATTTACATTGAACAGCGCACCCAGGTAGGTTGCGAACCGGTAGTAAAACCGGCAACAACCCACTAGATTGGATTACAATTTGTTTTCAACAAAGCTTTTGGAAAAGTGACATAAGATAGCATGAATTCAGTCACTATCTTTTCCTTGGATTGTTGTTTAGGAGCCTTAGGGTCCATGTTCCAAAGCAGGAAATGCTACAGGTTTTGTAATACGGTACTTAATAATTTTAGTAATGCTGAACTAACTCTTTAGACCATCAATCCACATTATAAATAGAAGTTAAAAGTGGTGCCCTGAAGAAACCCTGCTTTTTCTAACAAAAAGCACACCTGGGCACAAAGAGGTGACATTTAAATATGGTAGTTAACATAGTAGTGCAAGTGCAATGCACGTGTGTGTATCTTATGCACACAAACAAATGTAAATTGAAAGTTCTGTGACCAATCGACACACTGTATGTAATGGAAGATACTTTTATGTTACATGTCTTGTCTTTGTTGAAAAATAAAAAATTGTGTGTGTGTGTGTGTATATATATATTAATATTATCTATAATGATATATATATATGTGTGTGTGTGTGTGTGTGTGTGTGTTTTATTTGTGCTGATAAATAAA